TTATAAATGAGGGAAGGAGAGAGACAGGGTAGCTACGGAAAGGGAAATAAGCCAAGCCAATCTCCCCTTTTACAACAAACTCTCTGCTGAGACACTAGCATTTATCCATTTGTGAGGACAGATCTCCCATGGCCCAATTCCATCTTAAAAGTCTCACATCTTAATATTGTTTAATAGCAATTGTAGATTTACTTGAGCTGGGAATATACAGGCATTGAAGCCATATAGTACAAGGTGAAGTTGAGAACAAGCAAAATGTCATTATTATTGAAGAGCAAGTTGGTGGGGCAACTTGGTCCACAGATCAGTCTACTGTGTGGAGCTTCGTGTGGATGTCTTATCATAGCTTCTCTGGAAAGAGGCATCTTTGGAGTTCCAACACATCCTAGAGAGTGTTAGCGAATGGATGCTCTGATTTCTCATGTGAGTAACAGGAAAGCTTCTTCAGAAATGAGACAGAGAGAGAAAAGAGTGCTTGGCATGAGGCCAAGCTTGAATGTCTACTCCTGGTTTAAGTCATCCTTGTAATCAGACAGGAATTTATGCCCCAAGGTTCCTGGAGGGAAAGTCCCTTATGGTTGAGATTCCAACCTTTATATTAGCAGAGCAGGAGGATGGTGGTCGGAACTGCTTTCCCAGAACATAGTTGTGGTCTTAGGCTCTATTGGAAACTGCAGAAGAAAACAGTTCTTGATCTTGTTCATACAAGGTCTGGGTTGCTAGCCTATCAATCAAAGTTTTTGGCACTCTCTTGAGGGTGGGCTCTGTAGCTAGCTGATAGGCCGCCTCTATTGTTGTCTTTCTTCTCCTTTCATAGTTCTTTCAGACTCTTCCTCACTGTAGAATCATCTAGTCCGACATTATTATCCCTTAAGGATATAGCAGAAGCCCCCACAAGTAGATCCTCTCATCCCTAAATCTGAATCAAGTTATTTCTTGTCCACATTTTGATTTTGATTCTAGCACTGGGCTAGCCCATCAGACTGAGACTACTAACAGTGGCCTTCCCCAAGAGGGGGAGCCATGTTTTCACTACCTCTGTCTTACACACACACAGATACGCACATACACACGCACACATACATAAATGTATATGATATATATATAGTAGTTCTGCGATATAGGTACAGTTTATGTATACACATATGTGCATGTATGTATATATGTATATATATATATGTATGTATAGAGAGATAGATAGACCCTTCATATATAGGTATAGAATCAAGAATGTTGACTGGTTGGCTAAATAACTACACTACAGCCACAGACAACAGAGCCACCATCTTTGTGACTCAATCTTTGGGGGGAGGAGCTGCAAAACAATAATTATCTTGGACACAATGAGACTAATAACTCATTCTGTGTACAAGGAGCCTCCTATAATAATAGCACCAATGAAGAAGAAATTATACTTATTTTAGTGAAACATCCAAAGCTATACAGACAGACTAGACTGGTGTGTGTTACAAGTGCATTCTCATTTATGATTTATCTGGTCACCTCACCTTCTTACAATACAACTACCACTAAGAGGTCAGCAAGATAAGCCTTTCTGTAACAATCAAAATGGATACCATAAAGTGGTGTGGGAAGTCATTTTGTATATGTGTTGCTTTTATTGGTTAATGAATAAAGAAGTTGGCTTGGCCTGTTGTGATAGGGCAAAGTAGAGGTAGGCAGGGAACACTAAGCTGAATATTGGAAGAAAGAAGGCAGAGTCAGGAGACACCATGTCGCCACCAGTGAGCCATCACTTGGAACCTTGCTGGTAGACAACAAGCCTCATGACAAAATAAAAACTAATAGAAATGGGTTAATTCTAGATGTAAGAGCTAGCAAGTAAAATGCTTATGCTATTGACCAAACAGTATTGCAAATAATAAATGTGGTTTTTTCAGAGATGAGCTGTTGGGAACAGTCTCCTACAACAATAAAGGGAAAGCGTCATAAGAGGAGCAGCTCCAACAGTCTTCGATTAATGAGTTTACTTTGGCTATGCTCTGCAGGCTTGGATTTCTGTCTCAATGCTAAATAACAGCTGAAATGTGTGTGTGTGTGTGTGTGTGTGTGTGTGTGTGTACAATAGAAAGCATATTTAATAAGGAAATCAATTTTCCTGAGCATTGAGAAGAACTAATGTTCATACTGAAGACTTTGTGTTGTATAAGTAGATTATTTTATAGATGTTTTTTCTTTGTCAGCATAGTTAAAATGAGAATCAAAAACTGACCTCTATGAAATGAGCTTCAAGTGTTTAAAAAATGCACTTCTAGGGTACACCTTATGTTATAAATGAAGCACACACACAGGTGGGGAAACGTATCCTTGTGCACAGGACCGAAATCATCCTAACACCCTTTCTTGGGGAGTAGTCTTGAGAGAGGAGTGTACTGAGTCTGGCTTATGCAACTGCTGCCACAAAAGTCCACTCTGAGTCCAGTCTTTGAATGTTTTCAAACTTTGGATCAATTAGTCATTTTTCCGTCCCTGCTCTTTCCTTTTTAGCTTTGGCTTGAAACTGTCAGAATTCCCAGGCACATATTGCCATAGGAGATTCTGTTGGTAGAGGGAGGAGTGGTTGGCACATTAGGGAAAGAACAATTAATTCGAATAGGTAGATAGTATATTAAACCCATGAGTCTTTCCAAAATTTCTCTATATTTCTACCCTCTTTTTTAGAAATTCTTTCCTCTCCCCATGACCCTTTAGGAGTAAAATTCAAACAGCTTTTAGAAATAATTTGGAGATCATTGCAAGAGACACTCAGTGAGGCCTAGAGAAGGTCGCCTAGGCTGTGACTTCCTTATCATATATTATGCTCTTGAGATGAGAAACTATCCATGGTAAAGATGTTACAATTACCCAGGATTCTTTCCTAAAACTATTCGAAAATGTAGACTGAATCTGGGGAAATGGCTCTGTTTGTGATGTTCTTATCATACAAGCATAAGAACCTGAATCTGATCCCAAAACCCCTGTTAAGAACAAACAACAACAACAAAAGCTAACCTGGATTTTGTGTTACATCCTTCTAATCATAGTGCTGGGGAGGCAGAAATAGATAGCTCTCTAAGGTTCTCTGGCCTAGTCTACTCGGTGAGGTTTAGACCTCATCTCAAAACAACCAAAACCCAGTTGGAACCTGTGTAATGACACCTAAAGTTTGCCTCTCACCTCTACAAGCATGTACACACATGTACAGATGTACTGTCACACACACAAATACACATGCATGCACAAAATAGAAGCTTTATTTAGAAAGGGAAGCATCTTCAGCCTTACCATTCCCTCCATTCCAAAGAGCATGCAAATATATGCAAGGGAAGTAGAGCGATCTGCACATTTTTATAATCATAACAATTATATAGACAGTAAAAAGGGAGCTGACCAAGTGTGGCCAATTAATTAGGAAAGGTTGGAGGAAGAGTAACAAAGCTTAGTATTAGGTGAGTAAATTATCCTCTAAACACTTGAAAAAGGAAGAGGAGCCCAAGGGATCTAAAAAGATGGATCTGGTCCACTGTGCCTGCTCATATAGTCATCGCAAGCTTCCTGGAGCCAAAGCAACTGGCTCTCCTGTGAAAGACAAATGTTCACCTCTGGGTCCTTGTTTGTTCTCTCAGAGAGGTCCGTGCTGCAAACAGAATCCGTGTCCCTTGCTGCTCTCAGCTGGCATTGCTGTACAGCTGTGCAGCAGCTGTTGAGGTCTCCCCTACAAGTAACTCCTATCCAGTGGTTGGCAAACGGGTGTACATCTGGGATGAGATGTTCAAATGACCTCAGGACCCCATAGAATAAATCAAAACACTGAAGTAATGCCTTGGACGAACTTGTTCTGATGTAACTCAGTTGCCGAACTTTATTTCATGGTCATTACTGAGTTGAGTGATCTATTTTATCAAAGCATGGTGGAGTACGGAATAATCTTCATAGCTGACATTTAAGGAAGGTCGGAGAGAGGAAGCGATCTTCCCATGTCTCCGAACGCCAAAGTTCTGTCAATCAAAGAGCTTGACCATGACATGTTTCCTATGAGTTTACATTTGGGCATGAACCGGAGAGGATAAGCCAGTGTTTCAGAGCAGTTAGGCTGGCTGATAGACCCTCTTGGATGCTGTGCGGTTTATTTCCCTCAAGAGGTAACTATCTGGAGAAGCAATGCAGTGGTTGGCTGAAGTGTTTTTTTAACTACCGGTTGCTGTTCTTATCACATCACACATTCCCTTTTGGGGTGAAACAGTCCATTAACTTTGGTTTAGTCTGGGCCCATTTCCCATTTTGGTTCCTGTTAACTGACAGCAGTAACAGGAGTGTATGGAAACAGTTGAACTCCCTGCTCAAACGCTGTGTCTAGCTGCAGTGCATCAGGTACCTAGCTGAACATGTGGGAATATTTTTTTGCGTCAACTATGGTATCCTTAACCTAGGACCACTTTCACCTTGGACAGACAACATAAATGCCATCACAGAAGTTGAGGATTTCTAGGGTCAATAAGTGCCAGGCTTTGAAGAAGGGCCTAAAAATGAAGGGAAGTAGCATAAAGGCAAGATATGTGGTAAATAAGGTCTAGCTCTACCTGACCCTGGTTATGTGATCTGGGAGATTCTTCTCTGTTCGTATTTCTGTCTTCTCACAGATAGAACCGACGTTGCTCAGAACACAGGTGTTTTCTAACAAAAAGACAGAATGTGGAAGTATAATATAATACTATATATTACTAGAAAGCTAATGTATCTGAGCAGAAAGCTTAACGAGAGAAGCAGATCTTAGACTGGGCCAGAAACAGGTGCTAGACAGGAATGGAGACAATGCTTTGGGCACAAAGCTCCTTTCTCAGGGCTTTTCAAATTCTTGAGAATGTCTTCTGCCTTTTGGGTGTTCATCGGCAGTCTCTTGGGTATTTTGTGAACTGGGTTGGAGCAGGTTAAGGGTGAGTTGAGGGGAGGGGAACTGGGGCCTTGGAGCTACACAGGACACTGACCCCATCTCTTCCCAGCCTTTCCAAGCAGACGGCTGGTGTGACACTATCAATAACCGGGCCTATTGCCGCTACGACGGGGGAGACTGCTGCTCGTCCACACTGTCCTCCAAGAAGGTGAGCGAGAGCACTTGGGGTGGGTGGAAAGGTCTTGTGGCTCCGGAAGTTAGTGTGGATCCGGCTAGCCCTCCTTCTTGGTACAGTCGTTAAGAGGGAATGGCGATGAGTAAGGAGTATCTGGAGTGATGAGGAGATTAGCTGATTACAAGAAGGGGTGGTGAGTACATCTTACTGAATTACCAATACAGTGACCCACTGGGACAGCAATGGCTTTTGTCGCTGAAAGTCTCCTGCCAGCTTGTCATTGCCCAGACCAGAGAAGGTCTTCCTTCTCTTAAAGGCTCCAGATGACCAGTGAAAAAACTTCCCGGTTATTACTTACCTTTGATCTATTATAAGTACATCATAGGGATATAATTACAGGAGCTACCTGAACCACTCTCTTGAGCAGATCTGCAGCATCCCTTTGTCTGATCCCCTTTATCTCTGTTATTCTTGGCTCCGTAAAATTAAGAGATAAGCTCCTTACATCTGTAAAGCTGAGTGAGCTGAAACTTTACAATGCTATGAGTAAAAAATGCAAGCGCTCTGTGATATTTGAAGCTAGTTGGCACATTCAATTGGAGATATCCTGGTGTTATTTCCTTCTCTGTATTATCTCCACAATAAAGCCACGATGGGCTATACATAGACTAGAGTACTGCAGACAGGTTCTGCCCCTTCTGTTCACTTACTATGTGCCAGGTACTATGTTCAGCATTACATATGAACGAGGTGACAACACGGAGTGCTTAGGGACTCAATACATCATCAAAACAATTGGCCTTTTTTTTCCTCTCACAACTAACCAGTCTTGAGCTAAGAGAAACAAATTATGAGCGCTGACCAGAAGGCAGAAATCGGGCCGGTTATTTTCTATTCTTACTTGTGGAAATAGCTACTCAAGGAGTCTATCTATATTCAGGAAGGCATGGCCACCTTGGAAGAAGTTGTTTAACTCTCTCAGCTTCATTCTGTGCAAACCTGGGTCAGCATGCAGAAAAGCTGAGATTATCAAGGCACATCGCTTCACATCTCTGCTGAGTCCTACATCATATTTTATTTCATATGTACAAACAATCTTACCCTTTCTCCAATCTAGATGTGCAATCACTAAACCCACCCCTCAGTGTGTCTGCACTGATATGTGACATTAGTGGTTATCTCATTTAATCATGAGTACCCAAAAGGCATTTACCACTCTCATGGCTCAGTAGTGGCCATTGTCTTTGATTCTAATTTGATTCTAATTAAAGGAATTGCTTATCTGTTGACAACAGTACAAGCAGGAACAAAGGCAGCTTTTCTGTGTCATATCTGAAATGGGAGAGGGATAATTATAGAGAACTGAGCTAATAGTCTCACACACAGAGGGTAGGGAGTTGCAATGTCTCACCACCTCTGAGTAGATCTTAGGCTCAAGAAAGGCAAATGTTCATGCATAGGAAGATTCCAGAGATTATCCCACTGCCCCAAGAGCACAAAGTCAGAGTGAAGTCAGCTGCGGTGGTCCTCACAAGGAGATGTGGTGACGTTCATCTTTCCAGCTAGGAGGACTGCAACAGCAACAGAAACAATCAAACTAGACGTTGTCAGTAATGTTAGGAATTATGCCAACAACAGTTATAGGTGTGCAGCAAGGTATGAACATGTTCCACCATCCGTTTAGCCCAAGAATACAGATGTTTTCTGGAGGGTGGAGCTGATGTCTTCTCACCTTATAAATGAAGAAAGGGAAGCAGTGATGGATTCCATTGCCTAAAATGGCATGGTGTGTCATAAGAGGGCCCAGTGTTAATTGCTGATCTATGATACGAACCCCCCCCACACACACACACTAATGATTTCAACTCCCTGTTCTTCCCCTAGGTCATTCCATTTGCTGCGGACTGTGACCAGGATGAGTGCACCTGCCGAGACCCTAAGGCAGAGGAAAATCAGTCACTCTAGGACCAGAGGCCAACCTCTCTGCCCTGGAGGCAGATTAAGAGAGAGAGGCTCCCACCGCAGGATGCAAAGGGTGAATGAACAATCCAGGTCCTACGGCTGAAGGAGCGCCTAGAATGGAGAGTCATTAAGACATGCAAGAGAATGTTTGTGGGTGCCAATTAATGCATTACATAGGCCAAGCAGGGAGGAATTAGAGGCAAAGGTGTCTGTAAAAGAAAACAGTTGATTAAAAAAGGAAGGAGAAAGGTGACAGACAGGATCCCTCTTCCCTGTTTGTCCTCTGCTTCACCCTTTTCTCAGCTCTCACTCTCTTCCCCACTCTGCACGCTGTCAGTGGCTCAGCCCCACCCACCGTGGAAAACAGCATCAGAATATTAGAAGATAAACTGCCAGGGACACTCTGTTAATCCCCATTTCAGATGGACTGTCATCTTTCAGGGCTCATCTACTCTAAACTGACCCTTTGCCTTTCTTTTGAGTAGTCTCTCTTAAGTAATGAAGTTAGCTACGTCTTTGTAAGTATTTAAACATAATTATATAAATATATTATATATTTTGCTGTTTACTAAGCTAAAAGTTATTCATTGTTCCACACATGCTGCTGTGAAGTTCATGTCCAGATGGATACTGAAGCTTCGAGGACAGAAAGGTCCTTTTGCCGTCCTTCTATTGATCGGGATTGGCAGTTTGGCAGGTAGAGGAAAGAGGAAATTCAATTCTGGATTCTGGCCTGTCAACTGAGCATCATTTTATGATCTGGGAGCTGGGCCTACTGAAGGGAGGTAGATTTGGCATGCTAAGAGCAAGAGGCATGGAAAGTTACAAATGGGAACCCATTTGGCAGCGGTCTAGTAGAACTAGACAATGGTTTCTAAGTATCAGCGAAAGGAACACACAAACCTCCCCTTCTCAGAATTCTATTAGAGCTGGTGAAGTCCAGGGTCTTTTCCACTCCTTCGTGCACCTAGTCCAAGTGTAGCTGCCAGCCAGTCAGTCCGGAAGTTTGTATTAGGGCTCATTCTCCGAACACCAGGCTTACAGGAACTTACACCCTCTTCATACTTGGCCAGTGGTTGGTGTTTCTCCTTGTTAGAAGTCCCAAAGTCTGGCCGTCATTCACAGCCACATCACCAGCTCTTGACTTTCTGAGAAAAGCAAAAACTTTGGAAACCCAGTAAGGGAAAGGTAACAAGCGATGAAAGAATTGAGAGGGATGGAGGCATCAAGACTGTCAGAGAGGCTGAGAGGTCAGGATTAAAGCAGGGTGGAGGATAAGAGGACAGAATGATTGAGGAAGTCCCTGTTCCAAGGCTCCAGAGGAAGCCAGAGTGATCCTCTGAGCGACAAGATAAATTGTATTCAAGTGGCAGCACCTAAAGTTTGCAGCAACCCAGCAAGGGAACCTGGGAAAATGTGGAGCGAGGGTGACACTCTGTGGGGAGAAAGAAGAATTTCAGCTATTTAGGGTCCATTTTGTTATCTTTATTATTTTCTTGTTCAGTAGCTGTATGGACTACACACAAATCAATCACATTCAATAGCTATCTGAACTACACACAAATCAATCACATTCAATAGCTATATGGACTACACACAAATAGATCACATTAAATAGCTATATGGACTACAAACAAATCAGTCACATTCAATAACTATACGGACTATACACAAATAAATCACATTCAATGCTATATGGACTACACACAAATCAGTCACATTAGCTCTTCTGTTTCCACCCATCTTGGGCTCACATTTCCCCATGAGATCTGACCTAGCTCTGTGTTCTTATAACAGTTTCTGTATCAGACCCAGAAAGTTAGTTTTTCCTGTTCAACATTGGTCTTGTCCTCTTTCAAAGGCTCTGAGCTCTGTCTCCCCCTAATTTTTTCTTCAGTGGAAACTGAGAGCAGACAAATTTTGAAGCCATCTCTGGAATCTCCACAGCCTCTCCTTGTGTTCTCCCTATTTTTTATTATCAGTGAAGTAACTGATCTATAAAAGGAGAAAGGCAACATTATTAACCATCATCAGCACATCACCCCTGCTGTACACAAGAAGAGCAATATTCTGCAATGACTGTGGATGCAGCAGTGTACACATGCTTACTTATGGGTGAATCAAATAAGGACAACAGAGTCACCGAGATAGAAAAGAACAGAGTTTATTAATCCAAAAATCCTTTATTGCCTCTATTCCTAATTACAAGGTACACAGTTGCTTAAATACTGTTCACTGTCTGGGTCACCCTTAATGCCCTCAGTCAGGAGAGACAACTCATGTATTTTTGGATCCTGATACATTTAAAACAGAAAGAATGATAGAAAAGTTAGATTCTCTATTAAATACACACACACGCGCGCGCGCATGCACGCACGCACGCACACACTATAAAATTGTTTTCTTGGAGAAACATCCAAATTCTAGGATGCCTTGGGCAATCATGACAGATGAGACAGAGGCAGAGACAGGATAATAGCTATCCTGGGCATAGCCCTGCCCAGAAAGGCTGTGGCCCTGTGAGTACAGATAAGCTCACAGTGCTCACCAATGTGTGTCCACACTCAGCCTCTTTGTTAAGCCATTAAGAGTAGCAGAGAGGGCATTTCCACTCCATCCTTCATTTGAAGATACTTTGTTTTTCCCTTGGCAACATTCGCCATGCCCTGGGAAGGCAAGAGGACTGTTTCTGTGATGTATAAAAAGCTCCTCAGCCTGAAGGCCACTTAGCCATAATCAGCTAGAGACAGCAGCAGCAGTCTTGTCTAGACTTTGTCCCCAGGCTTCAGTGTTAGGAGCAACACAAATCCCTAATAAAGAAAATGATCATAGATCCCAGCGACAACTCACTCATGTCCCCATGTATGTGTCTGCATCTTGCTTCTCTTACACATCCACAGCGTCATCCAGGACTCGTCACAGAGGCTCCTCTGTCTGGATCTTTGTCCCAGAGTCACCTCTCCGTTTCTTCCTGTTCCTAATAACTAGAAGTCTGAGGTTCACATGGCCGAGGGGTGGCTGACTTCAATGGGTAACGTGGCAGTCTTCAATCCCAGAGATAGGGAAGAGGTCAGCAAGGACAATGTGGAGATTCAGGCAGAGAACGCAGTGAGTGAAGAGTCTCCTTGGTTCTTCCTTCCCTTTCCAACATTCAAAGGCATTGGTCTTGACAGTTCATCTATTCTGTGTAATTGATGTTGAGTGTGTCAGTTAGCACCCAAGGGGATGGTATGATTGGAGCACAGCGAAGGGAGCTGATCTACTGTATTGTAATGTAAAACAGCCACCACCCGTTATTTTATAAGATTATAAAATGTTCATTAAAAAAATCAGCACACAAAATATGAAGTGTGTTTGGTGTCTTATTCTTTGTTTAAACGATTTATTTCTGAGTCACTTTTCATTGGCCTCTACCAGATCCACAATTCCTTTATTGGCTGATCATACCCCTCAGTCACTTGAAAACTATGTGTTATATAAATAGGTTGTGAAAGAGAGATAAACACAAAAGCCCACAAGAAGAGATGACATTTACAAAGGTAGGGTGTGGGACAATGATGCCAAGTGCCTTGTGAGCTGTGAAATGCTGTTCAAGAATCATTTGCATTTCAGAAGTGACAAGCATCACCTCTGGGGACTAACAGGAGGTGACCTCTGAAGGATGCTTGGTAAAGGTTGCCTGTGATTTGATAGGCAGAAGCGAAGAAGTGAGCAGAGAAGAGAAGGAAAGATGCGGAGATAGTGACGGGAAAGACTGCCCCTTATTGGACATCAGTGAGGCATCCGGCTTAGCTGAAAGTTAGTACTAAATTAATGTGGACCAGGCATTTGGTTAACACAATCTTATTTAATTCTCATGGGGGGAAAGTCTGAAAATTACATATTCACGCTTCCCAGGTGAGAACATGATCTGTCAGTCTGGAGAAGAAAGTTCTTTCAGATCACATGACTAAACCAGCTTCAAGCCTAGTTTGGGGGATACAGGGGTGCAAGAAGGAAATAACTAGAGATCAATAAGAAAGGAAGAGGTGGTGAAGTGTCCGAGGTGTTACTGCGTCATCCCATGACACTGTCATCTCAGAGAGAAAGGGGAGTTAGGAAAGCAAATTTTGGAACAAGAGTTTTAATTTGCTCTGCTCTTTTTACACACTTTCCTTGACGGCCAGACGGATAATTAGCTTGAAATTTCATATAAAACCTGTGTTTAGCAACCTGGAGGAGGCTTCTGCACCTGGGATCAAAAGGCTAAATTCTCTGCTTATGCTAGGCATAGCTGGGAAAGCCCATCCCACCTACCAAACACTAGGGAGGACGTGAGAAAAAGATAGCTGGAGACATAATCTTGGGTTGTGGGAAATAATAAAAGAAATTATTACCTGGAATTTTCTGTAATAACTTGCAAGGTGCCTTCATGTCATTTTTGCTAACTCTGGGTGAGAGGCTAGATCACTGTTGCTTTTGTTAGTTCACAAGTGAGGAAATTGCACGACAGAGAGATTATTAGAAATCTGAAGTGTGTATATTAAGCTCCACATTGGAATCAGACTCTAGTTTTTGCTTTGTTTCGGGCTTTGCTCTTAAATGTAAAGTGTTTTCTGTTATGCCATATGCAACTCAGTAGACTCAAGAGTGAGCCCAGACCCTACTGCAATGGGAAAGTTCACAGCTTTTCATCTGTTTGTACTTGAAGGTACTCACTGTGGTTTTCCTAGTCTTTCTTCTCTTCTGCTGTAGTCCATGTCAGATGGTAGGAAATCCTCCCTGAGTACCCTCCATCGACCCTCTTCTCGTGCCAGGCCCTGAGTGTAAGCAGATGCCCCTGAACATGCCAGTTTGGACAGCTGGACAGAAATAGCTGGCAAGGTTGCATTCTTCTTAATAGTTTCCCCAGGGAAAGTCCTGGACAGAAACTTTAGAGCTCTGGTTTGCATTGACTGACGAATTGAAATGACATGATAACTTATTCATAAGCTGAGAGACCTGAGCAAGAGACCTGCTTTTCTTTACCGGCCTTGCAGGTGATGAGATGCCCTAGGGATGGATAAGGTAAGCAGAAGAATGCTTTACACCTCAAAATTGCACCAATGAGTCTCTGGACCTGGTGTTCGGTCACGTGTGTGTGTGTGTGTGTGTGTGTGTGTGTGTGTGTGTGTGTGTGTATGTGTGCATGCACATGTATTCATGTATGTGAGTGCACATACATATATTACCATACATGTATATATGTGCATGTGGAGGCCAGAGGACTGCCTTGGATATTGTTCATCAAGTACTACCCACATTTTCCTTTTAAGACAGAGTGTCTCTCTGTCCAGGAACTTGTGCAATGGGTTAGGCTACTTTCTGCTCAGTGAGTCTGAGGGATCCACTATCTCCATCTCCCCAGTGCTGTGCACCACCATTCCCGGAGGATGGCTCCCAGGCCCTTGCACTTGCAATGTAAGTATTTAATACGCTGAGCTCTCTTCTCAGCTCCTGAATCACTTTTCTTTTTACATCACTTATTTGTTTTTTATATTTTGTGTGAGAGACAGAAAGACAGGGACAGAGAGAGATCAAGGGAGACAGAGAAAGGAGAAAGAGTAGAGTCGGGTGAGTAGGAGTGAGGGATGACCACAATATATTGTATGAAAAACAATTTTAAAAAGAATACCACTGACTCCCACTCTCTGACAGTTTTTAAAGGATCATGTATTTGTAATGATCTGTGCCAATAAACTTTCTGTGTGTCTCTTGCACGTTACTCCTGCACACGAACAGCCTTGGTTTAGAGAGTCCATATTTACCCTCACATCTGTCAAGCTGGTGTTTTCCCGTGAGAATCCAGTCTGGTGATCATTGCATGGGTCTGCTTCATGCACTTCCTCATTGATGGTCATTTTTAGTTTTGTTTTTCCTGACCCTGCTACTCCATCTTAGGCAACATTGTTAAACATTCAGAAGAACTAGTGTGACAATGGTGGGATGCCTTCCCGAAAAAGAAAAACGTCTGTTACTATCTGTGTAACGTTACCAACAAATATGTTTTTAAAAAACTTCTAAGCTCTACAAGATAGTTCTGAGGAACTGCAATTTGCTAATGTTTTCCCAATCAAATTTTCTTCTAAGGATAATTTAATATAGTTGAGCTTCCTCTTCTTTGTCCTTGTTCACATAAAAGACATTTATTTGAATACAAATAAAAACAAATAAAGAGAGAGTGTTGACATTGTCATTACTACCCAACTACCCACAGTATATCAATCTGCTTTTTCTCTCCACTAGGTAACCTACATGGTTTTGCCTTTAAATGTTTGCAAACGTGTAAGTAACATATTTAAATCTCACAGAAACTCTGTCAAAACTAGAAAATGCCCTGATATCACAATCGATAGACAGCTCAGTGTTTTCTAGAGGGTAAGCCAAATTGTTAGGACACAAATGACTTCAAAGTATTTACTCTGCTGGTGATGAATCAATAGCCATACAAAACATCCAAATGGTCTTCACTGGGAAACACTGCTTGTATCTTCCCCACTTTAACTGGGATTCTGTTCTTGGGAATCTGGGCGGGGGAAGGATGATTTTCTTCTGTTCTGCAAAGATGGAAAGTCGAGCAAACAGTAATTTGAATTCTGACTCCAAGCCCCACTAGATAAACGTCTAGTTGCTGACTCTTTCTGAGCATCAGTTTACTGAATGCCCGATACTTGTGGTACCAGGCAAGCAGGGATTATGGAGCATGTGTTGGAGACAATGAGTGTAATCTACTGTCTCAGAATTTGGAAGGTACAGAAGCTCAGGAAACTGCTTTCTAAATACCTTCAAACCCTCACACACCCTGGGAGTCTGACCTTAGAGTACCGCTGGGATGTGTGCCATCATTAGCTCTATGCTTAGAAGAGGGGGAGCATCTGCTGACTCCCAGGTAGCTGGCCAGGAGGTGTTCTAGCCCACTGATCCAAGGAGAAGCAAATTGGATTTGTAGATTAACAGTGGTAAAGCTTACCACTGAAAAGGGGGAAACAGGCTAAGGGGAACTTCTTAGGAGCTGGAAAACTGGGCTTGTAAATGCAAATGGAATCTACCTAGAAAATTGCGTTAGTTATGTAAAAAAAAAACTAGTAATTTTCTTCAGAAGGCAAGTGATTGAATCATTGAATATATCTATTCTATAAAATAACCCTATCCAGTGTGGACTTCCACAATGTTCTCTGAGTTATTCAGTGCATCAGCCACCGCACATATCTTGCTATCTAGTATATGAAAAATGACTAATGAGACAGAAGAAATTTATCTTGTACAATACCTTATGCCAATCCATTAAATGTGAGTGGTT